TTTTAATGATGTAGCAATGGTAAATAGAATTCTAAACAAACAACAAAAATCTAAATTAACAAAAACAACAATAAGCAACATCATACAACAATATACAACATTTTGCAACAAAAAACAACACGATGCAACAAAAACTAGCGCACATGATACAACAATAAGAAACAAAAAAAACATACAAACAAGTTCATCTACATTATCCACCCTTCTTCTATTTATGCATTTTAACACACAATCCATCAGGTTTGTCTCTTTATCTTCTTTTACTCGTTGATTTTCTTGGTCTTATTATCATCTCCAAATCTTCTATTATCACCTGCAATTAGAATGTGCTGCCCATGAAAACAGGATCATGGGACTCATGGTGCAAATGAAGTACCTCAAAAATTGGACATGCTAGGACATGTTATTTGCAGGAAGGTGCCTAGGATGCTATACATGTTGTCCAGGTAGGCTCAAAGGAGGAAGGGATGACACAATACACCTTAACTACCATAGTGATACTTTCTTTGATGACAAACAATTAGCTTTCCAATTGAAAGAAAAATACTAAACCGATAACTAAGCAAATCCAAGTACTTTCATCAAAATAGAAAGACAATGTGCTGTGATTGATATAGAAATATTCAGTTAAGAACTTAAAAACCATTAAAATTAAATCATGGAAAGGAAATGGCCCTAACTGATGTTAGAAACACATTCAATAATCAATGAATTCAAAAATAAAATCAAAAGGATAGAGTATGTTTCCAAATTAATGTTACTAATTAATAGTTTAATACTAAACCAAAAACCAATTATATTCAAGTAATTCCTCCAAAAGTGCAATCTAGAGACCCTGATGGTCCATACCATACGACCGTCCAAGGTAAATGGCTAAAAGCTGCCTCCACTACCTTCTTCAGAAGGAGCATCTATACTACAACAATGTTCAGTGGAGTTCATCTCCGAAGTACCAGATATATTCAATTTGACGAAGGTTAACTACATACCTCGATCCTATGAAGGTAGATTTTGAAGAGAAGAAAGTTAAGGTTGATGCGATGAAGGTTAACTCCTATAGTTAAATTTGTTCGATTTGGTAGAGAAGTTGTAAGAAACTGATCTGAATACCTCTAATTTGAGAAGCATTAGAAGAACAAAGAGTTACGGCTTTGCAACGGTCGATCGCTTGGCTGCCTGCGGTGCTGGGACAAGAATTCCGACATGGCTTCATCAAAGATGCCCAATCATGACCATGGAACCCCCTTCCGAGAGAAGAGAGTTGGAAGTCGGGGTGCGATCTCCCCATAGGCTCTCCCGGAAATTATCACCCACACGGCCATGAGAAAGCCGATCGGGAATCTGCTCTGCGTATCTTCTGCTGGAAGAGGTCGGTAAACTGGCTAAAAGTGAAATAAGAAAATAAAATTGAAAACTTAAAAGTTTAAAATGAAAAGGAAAAAAAGTTGGGCTATAAATGATATAGGGCATACAAGAATAGACTATTCGGGTAATTACCACCTATTAAAATGCAAGCAAATAGAGCCCAAAACCCATCTCATTTGAGGCCCCACGCATATGGACGGATTTCTGCAACCCTAGGCCATACTTTTTACCCTCTACACCTATAAATAGGGGGTCTGAGTTGAGAGGAATAGATGAGAGAAGTTCCAGTCGAAAAAATGCTGTAGAAAAGCTCTCAAGAACTCCCGAGAGGCTCTGAACAATTACGAAGAAGAGGGAGAGAGCAAGCTACAAATTTTATTAAGAATATACGAACAATCCTTCGTGATTTCGTCGATTCTTGATAAAATAAGTTCAAAAGTTGAAGAACGTCCGAAGATCTGAAGAACAAGACTTTGAAGATTCGAATATATAAAGAACGATTCTCTGAAGATCTGAAGATATTCATATAAATATTGAATCAAAATTCAATTGAATATCAAACCATATATCCTCAGAAGTCCTTTAACAGAAGATCAAACCACAAAACGCCCCTTTTGTTGAAGATCAAACTAATTGAAAACTGGAGGGTCTTCAAGTTGAATTCTTAATTCAAGAAGATTTTTAGATCCGAAAAACGAAGATTCGAAGATTCGAATATCTCAAGAACGAAGATTCGAAGATCCGAAGAACGTTCGATTTTTTGAAGAATTAAAGATTTAATTTTGAATTAATTTCTTTAATTATATTTATTTCAAATTGCAATTGAAGAATCAGAGGATTCATATTTAGAGATTGTACCCAATATTCTCACATATTATTATTTACGATCAATTTTAAGTAAATATTTAAAATTTGTTTCACATTGCCAAAAAGATCCCATCCTGAGGCGACCTGAGGTGGCGGCGGGCGGTTGTGCCGTAGGCCATGGGGCGGTGGCAGATGGCGGGCAATGAGGCAGTAGCGGTAGGGGGCGTGCGGCTGCAGGCGAGTGGATCTATGGAGGTAGCAGAATGAAGGCCAGGGTTGGAGAAAAAAAGTAAGAGCTTAGGGTTTTATAGATATAACCTAAAGGGTATATTTGCCCACTTAAATAATTTATATATTTATTTATCACGAATTTTAATTAAATATTTTCAATTTTAATATTATTTTGGTAAAAAAACTAGTTGGTCATAGATTGAAAAAGTGAAGAAATTTTAGTCATACCTAGGATAATTATCTCTTTTATTAACCCGAAACTTTGGTGTGTGTCTTTGCAGTTTGGATGCCTATAAGAGAACTACAGTTTATTAGAGAATACAATGGAGATGCATTGCTATGGTGGGTTTAAAATGCATGTTACGAAGGCTATTAATTGTTTATAGAAAATACAGACATTTGATTAGGAATACAATGTGAGTTGCTGGGCCTTGAGATTTTTTTGGTAGTCAGGGAAGGGGTGGGATGTTGATGTGATAAACAGCCTCTTTTGTAGCAGGAACCAGGAGCCGATTCTCGAGATTAATGTGATCAAGAGGTGTTTCGAATCAAATCTTATGACCATGGGATGAAAAAGGTCGCTACAATGTAAAGAGCAATTATAGGCTATAGTAGCTTGTATGATGAGGATACCAAGAGATTGGTTCAAACTCAAAGTAAGCTATCAAAGTTGACACATTATTTCAGCCATAATGTGTCAACTTTTGTGATACTAATACTACGCACACAACACATAAGCTATCACGGTAGCACGTCACTGTAGCATGTCACTTGTCACTGTACTGCGTCACTTGTCACTGTACCGAGTTACTGTAGCGTGTTACCGTAGCTTATTAGTTATTAGTTATATTTTTGGAAATTAAAAAAGGTCACTTTTTTGTCCATTGTCTTTTTATTAGTAATATTCAGGTCAAAACCCCTTAATATTATTATATTATTGTGGTTATTATATTATTAGAACACGATGCAATGCCTAATTTAAGTTTGTTTATTTGGAATTTGGATGATCATGAGATGGATTTCGTAGCCACACCGTGTTCATCTTTCCTTGACTTTTGCGTCAGTAAGTCGATTGTTGTTATGTTTTTTTTTCCTTTTTTTTTACTCCAGGGGGTCTGAGGGAGGGGCCTAGGGAGGCCTGGGGCTAGAATAATCAGGGCTGAAATCCACTTTATTGAGTTTCAAACCCTTGTGTGTTTGTTATGTTATTTTTAGAGACTTTCTATTTGTTCAATTTATTTGTTTTTTAATTTCCGTTCTTTCCCAAATATCTTTTTTATTATAAAGCTTGGAATAATATTTGGTGGATTTTTTGAATGAAATTGTGGATTTTTTTACCATAATGCGACTTACTCATTTTAAATGACTATAATTATATTAAAATTTTATATCAAAGTGACTATAAAAATGTGCTCATAGTAACTTTAGTCAAATATTTGTCAACAATTTTTATTTTAGTAATATTTTAGATTTTTTTTTCGAGAAACTTATATTAATAGCATATATAAATAAAAATTAGGTTCATCTGTCAAACATATATAATGTCACTTTTTACTCATCCTACCCCCATTATATAAAAGAAACATTTGGAGCATATGTTTTAAAAGATAAACATTGTCTATAAGCTAAGGATATCTTTAATAATTTATAATATTTGTGATTATTAAACTTCTAACATTTTTTATTATTTATTTACGATTTATCTTATTTGTGTAATAAAAATAATATAATTCAAATATATGCTAGTATGCTAAATTGCCACTAGTATCTTCTCATATTACATCCCGTGTAACAATAATAGTATCCTAAATTCCTAAATGCCTAAACAACAATGCTTGATGTATCCACCCTTATACTCACCGTGTTTGTAAATTTTTTTGTCTGTGAATCCGGTTCACAGATAATATTTTATTTGTGCAAAATATTGTCTGTGAATTGATGTTCACAGACACAAAAAAGCTTTTCACAAACATGTGCGGGTACATGTATAAGAGTGGATACAAACGTCATTTTTTATGACCAAATGCCAAAAGGACATCTTTGGGTCCTTACATGAGAATAAAGTATTTCCGAAGGACATCTTTGGGTCATTAGACGAGAATAAAGTATTTGCGTTCAAGCTAGGGTGAAGAAGATACTGTTGGCTTCCACTCTTCCGGGAATTTTGCTCCTCTCCGTTGACCGGAACTCTCCTGTAGGAGAGAGATGTGGAGAAATGGTTGGATAGGGAAAAGAAAAGATTATGTTTAATTATTACTACGTATTTTTAAGGAGAGAGAGTGAAAGAAATGAATAGAATAAATGGAGAGAAATATGACTATGAGGCCGTTTGGTAACCTTTTTTTTCGGCTTATCAGACTTATCACCCAACACGTAACTTTTGCTTTCGCGCGCTGAATTGTGTAATAAGCCGAAAAAGTAAGGTTGAAGTTACTTTTCTGGCTGTATCGACTGAAGTTACTGTAGACGATCATTTTAGCTATTTTTACATATAATTTTTTTTTATTTCATTAATAAAATATATTTACAGAATCAACCATGTAAGCCCGAACTTGGTAAATTTCTAAGGAAACAACAGCAGATTTTCTTGCTTCCTGTCAACTGATTTAAACTCGTTCCGGCTTCACATCTCTCGCCCTGTGGGGGTCTCCTTCACATTTCCAACTTCTCTACAGCTAAAATTCGTGTTTGAATTGGTATTCCAATAAAATAAAATGGCAGGTTGGAATTATCCAGAAATAGCCCTAGAAGAATTTCTGAAAGCAATAAAAGGGTTTGTAGATATGTTGATTCTCGCTTCTGGGTATCAATCGTCTGGTAGTCTTGCCCACTGGGATTCGTCTAATATAAAGAAGGCCCTCCAATGGGCTCTATTAATTGAAGACGTGAGTAGTTTCTCTCTTCTCCTGCTCCTTTTATCTGCCACTCATGAATTTCCTTAAATTACAGCCATAATGATTGTCCAGTTTCTGCAGCTGTTATTCTATTGAATGAGTGATTGATCGCTACTCCTTCACATGCTCTCTGCTGCGCTGTTTGGATACTAGTGTTACTGTATACGCATTAATCTGGAACGACATAGTCTTCCATGCTTGAGGCTATCATAAATTTAAATAGTGACAATTTGCCTGATTCTAGTAAGGAAGTGTTGATGTCGTTTAGAAAAATGTTATTTAATATCACTTAGATCAAATTAAATATGTTAAATAGAATATCACTTGAGCATTGAATGTTTATGCAACACCACATAGAATATTACCTAGATCAAATTAAATATGTTTCAAAAACTTAATTTAATCTTGTTCTCTTTTGAAATGAGCTTACATGTTTAATACTTTAATATATTCATTTTTTTAGGTTTTCTTTTTTTGATTAGTTATAGATTTATCATTTATGAGATTTTTAAAAGTTTCACTTTTTATGAAATATTATGAATTCTTACAAATTCATCAACTCTCCCAATGTTTGCAAAGGGTGATTTTCTATAGAAGGTAAAATCAGGTAAAATGACTCGATTGATTGCTTTTTCAAAATGAGCATGCTTATATGATCCTCTTTTAGTACTCCGTATATGGTTTTAGGTGATAAATTTCAACCAGTATATGATCCTCTTTTAGTACTCCGTATATCTTTAATGCTCTACTTTCAATGTTTGCTTTTACAGTGCTTATATCATTTGCAGGATTTATTAAATCTCTCTTATTAAACTGAATGTGACTTATTTTTGACAAATTACATGAAACTTTTCTTTACTTTTGGGAAGGTTTTTTTAAAATTTTCTTTTATTTATTTAGTACTTATTTATTTATTTATTTCACTTTGTATGCTGATGGTTTATGCATGTAAAGGATCCTCTATTTTAGAGCAAAGTGATTCACTATTGTGGTTGCACTTTTGACTTCCAGGTGATTGGACACTTGAGCAGCCGAGATGAATATAGAGATTCTCTGCAGGAATTTAATAAAAATTTATGTCAGATAATTTCTAACCCATATTTCCCCAAGGTTATGATCTCAAGTACCAAGTCCCTTTTAGTTTCTGAAACTGTCTCTGATTCTAGTACTCTATTCACCACCATAACTCTTATCATTAGATTTTTTCTGCCATTCTCAGGTAACCGTCTTATGAAAGTGTTATTTTTTTCTCTTTTGTTTTCGTAGGGTCTAGAACATCTATCATCCAAGACTCTTAAGAATGCAAGAAATCTAATGTTAGAACATCTTATTCATTCCTTACCATTGAGGGATCCACACCTCAGAGCTCTTGTGGCAGCAACCGTCGAGATGGATTCTCATAAACATATGGAAAAATTGTTGCAAAATGAATCAAGAAAACTTGCTTTCGACTCTAGCAGACAATTAATCGAAGAATCATCAAACACAGAAGCTAATAGCGCTACCTGCAGCTTCTCTTTCATAACTGCACGTGAACTCCAAAGGAGACTTTTGGGAGTGTCATCGGTTTCTGCAACAGAGAAACTTTTAAATATTTTATCTCATAGTGTATACTGTTTGAGTTTAAGTGAGCTTGGCAAGAACTTACCTGATGGTGTTGCGAACATAGGAGCTTTAATGTAAGTAGGGAGTAATGCATTCCTATGTATTATGTGACAATTCATGCAAGATAGGAATCTCTTTGGGTTAGTTTGGAACTCGGGGAAATGACAGGGAAAGAAAACGGGGAGGAAAATCTAGGGGAAAATTTGGAAGGGAAGAAAATGTTGGGGGAAATAATAATTTGGTTAAAACCCAACAAATATTTGGTTTGATTTGGTCTGAACTGGTCTGATTTAGTCCGGTAAATGTCTGGTCTATGTGAATTTTACAACTGTCGAAATCTGGTTTGATCTGGTCTGAATTGGTCTGGTTTGATCTGGTCTGAGACCGAAATAAGTTCTAGTAAAAACAACCTTGATGCTTTTTTTGATATTGTATTTTTTATTCCTATTATTGTAAACACACCAAGAACTCAAAACATTTGTTAATCTTTAAAAGACACTGTCATTAATCATATTTCATTTTCCCTTGCATTTTATGTGTTAAAGCCGTGCTCATGAAAGTATCTGTCCTTAGCAACTTTTTTTCTTTTCCCTAGTATTTTCATGATCAAAACGTGCCCTCTATCTTTTCGTGATGGGAAACCGAGATTTAATCAGTTGAAACATTTCTTTTTAATTTTGACTAAGGTATAGCGAAATGCCGGTTGATCCTTTTACCTGGAGTCACATGAGATCACGAAACCTCTCGTATTTTCTTGATAAGAGAACTATAAGGATGGTATCAGGTGCCAGTCTTATATTTTCAGCTCCTGAGGACCAACGTGCTAACGTGTTTGGGAGGTTGTCCATTTTAACTGATGATGATGCTACTTTCTCTGAAGCAGTTGTAAGGCTTTGAAACTTTTGTAATTTTTATGTTCATTTGGAAAAGTTCAAAATTGCTCAGGGTTTTCACAAATGCACAGTGGTTCTCTTAAAAACACATGTTTGACCAGTGTGCACCTTTCTAAATATAGTAAGGTATAATTACTATAGACCTTGAAACATGCTTATCCTTCTTTAAGTGTCTAATATATTGTTTAAACAAAATGCATGAAAACTTAGTTTCGGTTATATCAACAAGCCCTGTTTTTTGGGACAAAAGTGGTTAAAACATTTCTGTTTTTTGTTTGGTTTGGTGAAGAGAGTATTTCTTAATCTTTTGAATTCAATTTCCAATAGGAGCTTTTGTTACTTGGATGTGCTGCAAGAAAATGGGAAGTTCTCATTAAACATTTTATGTCGACCTCATATGAACCTGTTACTTTATCAAAACTATGCAAAGAGGTGCTTAACTTAATGACTGGACATTGTAAAAACATCTGCTGCAAAGATAATATGATGAGTTCAAAGGTACTCCTTGTCTCTTTCCAAGTTCTTGACTTCATATAGTCGATGATTATTCAAAACTACTGTATATATTTAAATGTTTTCTTGATTTTGATTATATTATCTTCATTGGCATTTAAAACATGTCCATTTCAAAAGTGAACATTTTGATTATACAAGGAACGTTTTACTACAATTATCTTCATTGGCATATTATTACTATGACCTTCATTTTCTTTCCTCTCTTAATTTAGGATATAAGTGTTGTGAGGTTTCTGGAGGGATGGCTAAGCAGTAGGCTACATATCTGGTGGAATTTGTCCCCTATACTAGCAGCATTTGCAATTCCTTCCTGGTATTGTTTATTATTATTATTATTATTTTTATTATAAACTTGTTATTTTAAAATCTAGTCAAAAGGGTGAAAACACTAGAGGTTAGTTTTTACATATAAAGTATTGAACTTTAAGGGACCTTTTACGTGTTTACTTTATTATTTTCCAAAATTAGAAAAATGGAAACATGTTTCTAATATCTCCAATATCTCGAAATTTAGAGAACTCATTTTAGTTGTTCTATCGAAATCTGGAGAACTCACTTTAGTTTTTCTGGAATAATGAGAAATGGAATAATGGGTGGGGATGGTTCTATTCTGGAATCGGACTGGACATGGAATTGCTCAGGTAAAGAACCGGGTACAGGAACCAGGTCGGGGTGGGTAAGGCGCCAATATATGTTATAGGGGACCGGGACCGGCTGTTCCGGTTCAATTTTTGTATATTTATTATATATAAAATATATTTATTAATAATATAACACTATATTATATACATATAATAGAGAACAAATACTAATATATAATACATATATTTAATAATGTATTGTTATATATGTAGTATTATTTATATATTGAATACCTTATTTTACTATAATACATTATTTAGTTATTAATTAATTAAACAATGTTATGCGCATATATTAGAGAATCTAACCCCAAATCAAATCCAAATAAGAGTGATATAATAATACGTAGTACTCCGTAGTTTTTATAATAATAATGATGATGATGATATAATAGTACAAGAATACAATAACAAAAATGATAATACGGAGTAATATAAAGAACAATACTAATAATATAATAGTATAATATTAGCAATGCAATAATAGTAATAATAATTAATCCACATTGTTTCACTTAATATCATGTAGAATAAATGTATAAATTACATTCAACACTTACTGTTTCAAATTGTTTTTATAGGTGAGATGGTAAAAGAACTACTCCGTGATATTTATTGATGGAGACCTGGTTTTGACTCCTTGCAATGATAAAGTTGTTAATATATTTTTACTCATCTTTTTTTGTCTAATTTTCTCCTTTGGTTCTACATATTTTATTATTTTGAAACCTGGATAGTTGAAAACACATAACAGACACGTGGACATAATTTATGATTCGAAAATGAAAAATGGAAAACAGATAAATATTGGTAAACATGTGTTCTGATTTCAGAATTGGAAAATCGAAAAGCAGCAACAGAAAATTGCAGAAATCGGTAACCAATTTTCTCATTTTCCCCATTTTCATGCAGGTCTCTGCTATTTAAATCTTATATAAGGGAACTAGAGAGTCACTTTAGAGGAGACTCATCATTGACAAGGTTTTTATTCATGTATTCATTCAATTACTTACTCACTCACGCACGTACTTACTTACTTACCTACGTACACACTTACTTACTTACCTACGTACGTACTCATTCACTTTCTACTTTTATATTATATTTGTTAACTTGCACTTCTTAGCTTTCAGCTTTCTTCAATATCATTACCATTACTACTATAGTACTATATCATTAACATTGTTATTATTATAGTTAATTTTTATAATAATGATAATAATTATTATTATTATCATCGACTTGAATGTTGCTCTCAGTGGATGCATTTGCTTGCATCTCTTGTAGGTTTTCCAAGGATGGAAAGGAGCTTAAAGAATGTTAGTTCTTCTATGCCGCATGCTCTTATTCTTATATCTTCATGCACACAGACACACAGTCGCTCACACATCGTAGTGCACTTACTGATTGGTACAACTGGTTTTCCAGGTGACATAGTTGACAGAATGTGGTGCCTCTATATATATCATATCCGTGGTTCCACTTAAGGATGTCTTGTTGGTTACTCGGTTTACATCGCCACAATTTCTCTGTTCCAGAGCCACTGGCAAGTATTATCAATCACTTGCTAATTGTGCACTAAAAGTGAATAAATGAAATCCATAGAACCAAAAGTGAATTTTTTTATGGTACTATAATGCAAAATAATCCAGAAACATAGTGATTTAGTCAGTTACATTGCATGAATGGACTTTAATGTCTCAATCAAAATGCGTGCAAACTTTGGATTACAGCCAAATGATTATCACAAGAAGTAGTCAAGGATTGCACTACTTTGAATAAATGAATATCACAAGAAGTAGTCAAGGATGGCAAATTGTCTTACAGCCAGATTGAGGGCTTTCATTTGGAGCTGGGGAATGGAGATAGAATTTTGTAACAATGAGAGATGTGATGGGCTACAGTTATGGGTGCAGGGCATTGAGATCAAGCAGAGTTTCTACATTTTGGATCTAGGGGGTTCTATTTGGTTTTGGGAATGCAGTGACTTACTAGTTTGGGGAATGTGAAGATTAATTTCAAACAATTAACCCTCAGGTGGCTGGAAGGAGGTGAGAAAATCTTGCAAGGGGACCCCACCCTAACTCAAGTTAGAGCATCCTGGAAGACATTGGCCAAAGCTTTAAAGAACCAAGGACAAGGGTATAACTAGTCCTGTGAGAGCTATCAGGAGGAAGATCAAGCTGATATCCTACTTGGAGGGTACTAGGACGAGGTTCTATCTAAACACCCTGAGGTATTTCAATCTCCAATTGGACTACCACCCAAGAGGCAGTTTGATCATGCCATAAATATTAAGGAAGGAGCTGAGATCTCTAATATCCAACCCCTTACAAGAATGAAATAGAGAGAATTGTCAAGGAGCTACTGAACACAGGGATCATTCAACCCACACTAGTCCTTACGGCAGTCCTGTCTTGTTGGTAAAAAAAGGAAGGGGATGGAAATTCTGTGGGGACTACTGGGCCCTGAATAGAATCATTATACCTGATAAGTTTCCTTTATTAATTGAATTACTGGATGAATTATGGGGAGCAAAGGTCTTTTCAAAGTTGGATTTGAAATCTGGTTACCACCAGATCAGAATGAAGGAGGAAAATTGAGAAAAGACAGCCTTCAGGACTCATGAAGGTCATTATGAATATTTAGTAATGCCCTTTGGATTGAACAGCACGCCTTCCACATTTCAAGCTCTTATGAACCTGAGGCCTCACCTAAAAAAGTTTGTCCTGGTATTCTTTGATGATATTCTCATTTGTAGTAAAATAGAAGAGGAGAATAAGGAGAATTTGAAAAAGGTTTTGCAAATGCTCAAGAACAATCATTTGGTGGCCAACTAAAAGAAGTGTGTAATTGGGCAGTACCAACTAGCCTCTTTGGGCCATATCATTTCAGGAGAGGGAGTATCAACCCCTTCACATCTTTGGGTAAAGGCCAATCCAACAAATCAGATACTTTACTAGGGTCAGCTGACTGTTGAGAGGGTCTTTGGGTTTAACAGGGTACTACAGAAGATTTGTGAGAGGTTACAACAAGATTGCAGCACCTCTTACAAATCTATTAAAGATAGGAGGAGGTCAGTGGGACTCTAATGCCATTCATGCATTTGAGGAGCTCAAGAGAACTACGACGACCTACCTGTACTGATGGCTCCGGACTTTGGGAAAAGGTTTGTAGTGGAGACCGATGCTTCTGGAACAGAAATTGGGGCAGTCTTGATGCAGGAGGGATGACCCATAGTTTACATGAGCAAGGAATTATCGCTAAGAAATCAGATTAAGTCTGTGAAAGAGAACTGATGGCAATAGTGTTGACAGTTCAGAATGGAGGCCTTATCACCTTGGGAGTGTTTGAAGTACACACTGATCAGAAAAGTTTAAAGTTCTTGAATGAGCAAATGATCATGGGAGATGAACAGCAGGAATGGGTCACAAGGTTAATGAGAACCAAGCTGCTGATGTCTTATCCAGGAAGGGCAGTAGTATACATAGCTTATTAGTAGTGACTTGTAAGGGGTGAAAGGGGTTGGAAGAAGAGCTACTCAAGGATGAAAAATATCAAAAGGTCATTCAAACAGTTTTGGGAAAACCAGACACTTTACCAGATCTTAAAAGAGTCATGATTCAGCGGTTGGAGGAATGCTGGACATTTTACATTTCAGAACCATGAAAAGAATTTCAACACTTTATTATTGGGCTGGGAATCTGGGATGAGAGCAGATATACAATCTTATGTGCAAGCATGTGAAATTTGTCAAATGAACAAATACCAAACTCTGAGTCCAGGAGGTTTACTTCAACCATTATCAATTCCAACTCAAATCTGGGCTGACATTAGTATGTAAATCCGAGAGGTTTACAATTGAGCAACCACTGAGATTTGTGAAGACAGGAGAAGAAGAGAAGGTCTGCAAACTGAGAAAGGCTTTATATGGCTTAAAACAAGCCCCACGAGCATGATACAACAAAATAGACTTTTACTTTCTTGAGCAAAGGCTTCAAGAGAAGTAAAAATGAACCATCTAAGCTATACATAAGGTGCTGAAAATCAGTTTCATGTATAAAAAAATTCATCAATAACAGTTCTCACATATCTCCAATTCTTCCCTGCTTTCATACCCCAATCTAACAATAAATCTATCTCATCCATTTTGAGGACACATGGGAGAATCTAAACAGATTTCAGAAGCAGTTTCCTGAGTTCCACCTTGAGGATAAGGTGGTAGTTTAGGAAGGGAGTGATGATAGAGGAGTTCTACCTTGACAATAGATATTTTACCGAAGTGTTTATAAGGAGAAGGAAGGGTCAATATTTAATTAAATGAGGTGGCAGCCTCATGAGAAAAGAAGGGGGGAGGGAGATATATTAATGTGGAGCTGAAAGGAAAGTGGTAGGCTAGAATTCAGTTAGAATTGGGTGGGCTTGGGTAGAGAGAGAAAGTTCCCGTTCATCTCTCTAGACCTGTCTGTTCTGTTTTACTGTTTCTGATGGGATTGGGTATCTAACAGAATTAATACTAAAGAATTTGAAATTTGTAGCTTGATATGGTCTCATTCCACTTGATAGACGATGCACAACTGTGGTTCGATCAGATGATAGAGGAAGAGGGAGAAGTCCACTGGGAGAGGTTTAAAGAACTCTGTCTGGAGATCTGAAACTTCTCATGCAGGTCGGATCAGTTGATGAGTATTTTGCTCAATTTCATAAAGCCTTAGCAAGAACTTCAAAAATACAGTCCACCCATCGGATTGCTTTGTTTGTCGCTGGTCCATCCACACTTACGAGTTGATGTGAAGATAGCAAAACGAGGCAACCTGGGTTTCGCAATGAACCTTGCAAGGACATTGGAAGCAAGCAAACACTAACGCTTGCACCTGTCAAAGCCTCAGGAACTGCAACATATATGAAACAACACAGCCCGCCACAACTTAGACAAGTGCTCATGACAACAAGGGCAGAAGATCCAATTGTTAAGCGACATACGAAGGATGAAATTGCAGAAAGACGGGCAAAAGAGCTATGTTATAATTGTGATGAACAGTGTACGATGAATCACCGATGCAAAAAGCTTTTCTTGATCGAGATAGATGAGAAGGAAGATGGCTTCCCAGACTTGGAGTTGTCTGCCAACGCCATTAGTGGAACTATGAGTTCAATGGCCCAATACCAGAAAAGGCCACTTGGGAGCCATTGAGACTTTTGTCGCTGCTTAGCCAGGGTATGAGCTTGGGGACAAGCTCAGTGTCGAGGGAGGGAGTGATGTTACAGATGCATTTTTAGGGTTTTAGTTAAGTAGAATAGGAGTCCAGTTTGATGTTATCTTTATATTTTATTTAGGGTTATAGTTAATTAGAAGAGGAGTCCAGTTTGATGTTATCTTTATATTTTATTTAGAGTTTTAGTTAGATTAGGACTTAATCATGTAAAGGCAGAATGCCTATTTATAATTCTTTTGAGGAATAATAATCATCATCCATCATTAAAATTATTCCCAGAGAGAAGTCACAGACTTCCCCCTTCCCTGCGCTCTTCCAGCCACGGGCAAGAAGAGGAATAACCCTAGCAGACAGATTACAACCTCAACCAGGTACCCTGCTACCTCAAGTCGTCCCTGGACCCGTTCTCAATCTCAGAACCCTAACATGATGCTTCTGATTTCTGAAAAAGTCCTTCACTACTTATGTGCAGTCTATATTTTTATAATATTATCTTTGTGAATTTTCAAAGTCTCCTGTAAATAAAAGTTTTCTTCTTCTTTTTGCAAACAAAGACATAAAAAACTTTCTTACGGGTCATCAGATGTAAACTAGATATTAAGAACCACTAATCACTATAATCAGAAGACATTAATAATAGTTATCTTCCAACGTAAGACACCTTTGTACATGAGCGGGCTTTGTCTGCAATATTGATGAGGCTGTATCTAAAACCAACCTTTCTCTTGCAGTTATTGTTCGGGGCTGCTCGATTTCATCTCTTGTCCAAGGCTGGGAATGATATTATGGTAATGAATTAAATCTGCGAGAGAGGTGCAACTGCAACAGATCTTTATGTGTTCAAAAACTGTGGGAGAGAAGCAAAAGTAATCAAAGCTGTTTATTGAAATCACTGAGATCCCGTATAGCTATTACAAGGATCTGAAACTGAGAAGGAAAGATAGAACCGCAACAAGGAAGATTAAGTAGTAGCTGTAGCAATAACAATGGAGCAGTAATCAGCAAGCCAACCCCCTGGCTTCTTTTTCACCCCGTTTTTTTACAGTGCGGGATAGGCTGTCCTACATTTCCACATAGACCGGGATTCCCAATAAAGGCTGCAGCTTCCGCTCGGAGGAATATTCCCTTGTTAGGAATTGGCCCGGATAGTTTGTTGTATGAGAAATCTATCATTTGTAATCTGATCATACCCGATAAAGCTGAAGGGAGTCCACCGGAGAGGGTGTTGTGTGATAGATTCAGATTCCGGAGTCGTGTTAGATTTCCCACATTGTTTGGAATTTGGCCACTCAAGTGATTCTTGCTGAGATTGAGAGTCTGCAGCGTGCGTAGATTGCCTAGCTCAGATGGAATCCCACCCGTTAACTCATTTGCATCCAAGATGAGAGTGCGCAGGTTAGACAGCTGCCCTAATTCAGATGGGATGTGACCCGAGACCCTGTTCCCTGAAATTCCCAGATTAGTGAGCTTCTTGTACTCTCCCCAATTTGAAGGAATTTGGCCGCTGAATCGGTTCTTTTTCAGGGAAAGGAAATCAAGAACCGGGTGCACTCCAAGCGCTTGTGAAATGTCCCCTGAGAATTTGTTTCCGTCTAGCCTTAGCCTATCCAGTTTGGAGCATTTCTTCAAGCAAGCGGGTAACTTCCCTCTGAAGCGGTTCCATCTTGTCGTCAGGTATTGAAGAGCTAAACCGTGACACAGTTTAGGTGGCAGTCTCCCAGAAAAGTTGTTTAAAGAAAAGCTAACATTTGACAACACGGGACTGTGAGAGCCCAAGTCTCTAGGAACTTTGCCTGTGAAAGCATTTCTAGCAAGATAAAGTATCTCCAATTTACCAAGGCTTGAGATGCTCTGGGGCAACTCTCCACTCAATAGATTTTCAGTAACATCAAGAGAAGTGATTGATGTCAGGTTCCCAATCTCTGCTGGAAGTGCCCCGTTGAGTTTGTTGTTGAAAAGGCTCAGGACAGAGAGGTTTTTGAGGTTTCCAATTGTCTTAGGTATAGGACCAGAAAGGTTATTCCCAGACAGGTCTAAATTGACTAAATTCTGTAAATTTCCTATCTGAGGTGGAATCATGCCTGAAAACTGATTCGTGTACAAGAACAGGTATTGGAGATTTTTTAGCAAACCGATTTCGGATGGAATTTTCCCATTGAAGGAATTGTTCTGAAGCTGCAAAGACGTTATGGCAGTCCAGTTGGACATGAAATACGGTGAAATTTCACCCGAAAGAAAATTATCCGAAATCCCCAACTCAAACAACTTGGTCAGGGATGACAAGGATGAAGGCAAGACACCAGAGAGTGAATTTACAGCCAGAGCCAAGTAAGTAAGGTTAGTACAAAGACCAAGCTCAGAAGGAATGTTTGAATCCAGGCGATTCATCCGGATATCCAAGACCTGGAGACCTTTGAGTTGGCCAATAGTTGATGGTATCTTTCCTTGAAAAGAATTGTCAAATAAATTCAGATTCTTTAGCTTTGAGAGTTTCCCAATGTTTGGAGACAAAAACCCTGTTAATTCATTTTGGGAGAGATCAAGATGCTCAATCCTCTCCATATCCGTAAACACGGACTCCGGGATTGTTCCATTCAAATAGTTGAAAGACAGATCAAGAAAGCTCAGGTTTCTGCAACCCAGTATAAAGCCAGGGAACCCTGACCTTAATTCATTAAAATTGAAACTGAGATGTCCCAGAACAGGAAAGCTATTGACTTTAGACCAGTCAGGAGCTTCCAAGTAATTTGATCCCATGTCCATGAACCATACCTTTTGAAGATTTCCAATCTGATAAGGAATAACACCAACAATGTTGTTGTTGAAAAGGGTGAGGTACTCAAGTTCCTTCAAGTTTCCAACTTCCGGTGGTATGATTCCATAAAAATTGTTGCTGCTCAAGTCCAGGGAAATCAAGCTGGACGACAAATTTCCAACGGCGGAAGGGATTGATCCTGTGAAGTTGTTCCCACTGATGTTGAAATGTGTGAGGGTTGTAAAAGAAATGAAGTTGAGCAGATCAAGAGTCCCCGAGAGGTTTGAATGAGGAAGGCTGATCTCAGAAACAGTTCCTCCAACGTTGCAGACTATGCCGAACCATTTACATTTGTGTTCCTGGTTGGAAAGTGACCATGAATTGAGTAAAGAAGAAGATGAGATCAAGAGGGTGTTCTTCCATTTGATCAGAGCTTGGGCTTCTGTGTTTGCTGATGCTTTTGTCTCCAGTGTGAAGGAACTGAGCAGCAGAAGGAACCACAAGAGTGCGACCCTATTCCCTCTAAACATTTCCATTCTTTTTTGTGTCTCTTTTCCCCCAAGGATCAAGATTACACCACACTATGATAGATAAGAATAAGAGATATCTCAAGATCCCAATACCAAGAGAGTATATATAAGTTTGTCAAACTTGCCACTTTTGGTGATGGAAGAACATCAAAATAAGAATATTGACTCTTCGCTAGCAAAAAGTATTGGTTAATGGCTAAACTTCAAACCATTCTTTTGAATTTACTCAAGTCCTTATGTTTCTTACATTTAAGTCTTTTCTTACTAATGTATGTTTAACACATGTTTTCCGATCTGTGAATCACATTGCCCATAAGATAGCGGACTGCATTATTTATTGGGGGAAAATAATTTAAATACCCCGAACTTAATGTGATGTAAGTACCCCAAATTTGGCATATGTGATCTACATTCCCCCCACCCCCCACCCCCCAAATTTTAATAAAAAGTTATTTTCGCACCATAATTGTATGTTTTTTAAAAAATAAATTTATTGAAATAATTACATAATTTATTTAAAATACTCTAAGCCTGGTTAGAATGTAGTTAAAATTCTAAAATTTCATTTGCGAAATAAATAATATTACATCTGATACAATTTAATTTTAATTGCATCATCATAAATGTTTTATGTATTTTAAATTATGTACTTTGTCTTACTTTTGTGAAAAAAGTAATTATACATTTCATTTTAATTATGAGCTTTAAATTACACCATAAAATTACATTTGTCAAAAAAATATACAACCTCCGTCTCAAAAAGTTTTGCCAATTTTAAAACTTTGACCAATTATAGCTTTTTATTGTAAATTATTTATAATATAAAATTATATGAAAATGTTATTTGGTAAAAGTATTCTCATAAAAGTACAAAATTTGTAACTTTAATAATATTATACTAATCAAAATCATGGTTCAATTTTTTTGAAATGACAAAGTTTTTTGGGACGGAGGTAGTATGATCATGGTGATAGCATAACTTTTTAAATAAAATTTGGGGTGTATTTATATTACATGTGCACATTTGGTGTACTTATGTCACATCATTCAAAGTTTGAGATATTTAAATTGTTTTCCCCTTATTTATTTGTCAGGTTAGTATGTTTTGAAAGGCATTCACCAATATATATTGTGGTTGTTCTCAGTGACGTTCTGCTTCATAAAAAAGGAAGTAGAAAGTAATAGTTCTCTCCTCAAGAAGAATATTATACTTCCAAATCTAAAACCACTTGGAAAAGTAAGCACATTTATTTATTCATATAATAATAAAAACTGTTTTATTTTTCATTTATGATTATGTTGAAAGACGGTTATGTTCACCAAAAATAAAGGATCTAGTGAACTTTGAGATTATTGAATTTGATTTTTGATAGTGTGAAAAGGAAAACAGTTTCCTAAGATGTCAGATTGTCAGTAAAACTCCCCCTTCTTAAGGATTATGTTTTTCCTGTTAAATTGTCCTGCTAGCCCCCCAGAGCATCGCCAATACTACAATGTGCACGGTACACATGTGACATGAAGATAACTACATAAATAATAGTAAATAAATTATGCATCTCCTTATTTAAATGATTTTATACAATTTTGGTAAATTTTTCTCTGCAATGTCAACCACAATGTCAATATCTAGACGGTGTTCTTGACATTGTGGACAAAAAATTATCAAAATTGTATAAAATCATTTAAATAAAAAGAGAAATAATTTATTTGCTAATATTTATGTGGCTACTTCTCATGTCACATGTGCACGGTGCATTGTACCATTGAAGATGCTTTGTGGAGGCTCACTTTATTGATTATCTATCAAGCATGGAAACTTTCCAAGGGCACATTTCCTTGTTTTGGTAATTCGAAAGCTTGTCGGAAACTTCAAATTCCGGATTCAGGGCCGTTTCCATAATTAAAAAGTATTGAGAAATAGTTTCTCTATATGATTAGTGTTTCGGAAACCTTGAGTTCCATTTCTGTTCCCTTTTAGAGTTCTTGTGACGGAAATAGTGTCAATTTTAAAAATGTAGTAGAATTTTGTGGTATTCCTTGGTAGCAACGTATTGCGTTTTATATCTATATCTAAATTTAAACATGCAAAATGTTTTTATTATTGGGTTATTAAACAAGTTATTTGAAAAAAAAATCATGTGCACATTATTATAGATAAATGAAAAAATCTGTGTACATATTTAGCAAATATTTATAAATATGTCCATTTTTTAATGCTTACATGTTTTTCTACATTTGTATCCTATATTTTGTAGAAATTAAGATTCTCACGTTTCCCATTTTTGATTTCACGTTTCCCGTTTCCGTTCTATGTTTGTGAATCATTTATTGCGTCTCCAAAAAATGACATATTTTACATTTTAAGTCTTTGTTTTAATGTACATAGTATGTTCAAAAAGTGTTGTGTGATTTATGAATCACGTAACCCGGCCCATAAGCTAGTGGATTAAATTACGGAGTACTTTTTTTCATGGAAGAATGTTCCACCACCACCAACAAGAACAACATTTAGGTCTTAGTAAAAGTTTTTAGAGTCGGTTAACATGAATTCATACATGATATCGCAATCAAAAGACAGAAAATTAAAAGAGATTGTTGGGTTAATGGCCCAATGGGGCTTGGCCAATAAACCTTTAAGGCCTACCCTACGGACGTTCCTAGAAGGCCTAAGATAACGGGTTATCCCCCCATTATCCTGGCAAGGTTCATCCCCAACGGGGCAAAGCCCAGGGGACGTACATATCCTAGCATAGGTAGGTGCTTTGGCTCAGGAGCAGAACGAGACACACGTCTCGCAGGACTTGGCCCAACAGGAAACAAGAGGGCAGGACGCAAGTCCATGAGGACGAACGTCCCCAGAAGGCCCAAGACAACGAGATACCCTTCCCCATCATTCAGGGGACGTACGTATCCTAGCGTAGGCAGGTACCTTTGCCCAGGAGCAGAACGACACGCACATCTTGCACGACTTGGGGACGAACGTCCCCATCCCTTAGCGGACAGCCAAGATCCTGGCGGGATTCAGCATTTAATACAGAAGATTTGGTGGTTGTGCATTTAATGCAGAAGATTTGGTGGTCGGGATCAAGCTAGGCAAACCCATGGGGATGAACGTCCCCACCCCTTGGCGAGAAGCCAAGATCCTGGTGGTCGCACATTTAATGCATAGGATTGGGTGGTTGGGATCAAGTCATCCACAGCTGGGTTCAATGTATCTAACTACCCATTGGCGGTATAAATAGTACTCCCTCCGTCTCCCTGTTATTGTCCCATTGCGGTTTACGATGCTTGACCGACGATAAAGCAAACAGATCCCTGTCCGCACTCAAATTATTTTTAGGAAAAAAAATTACATATTCAGAAACTACTTTAAAAGATTTACAAAGTCGCAAAAACCAGAATCAAATTTGATAAAAATTTGATAAATAAAGTAAGAGATTAAGAGTGATTTGTGTTGACCAAGTGAATAGGAAATGGGACAATAACAGGGGGACGGAGGGAGTAGCATTTATTTCATTGTAACGGGTCGGAACTTAGCACTCTAGTATTATAGAATTCTTATTATCTCGTAGCACAACATCTGTACATACGGCCTCACGCCTTGTAAGTACGAACGGCCTCACACCTTGTAACAATGGACTTAAACCAAGACTTCTTATTGAGCCTCATCTTACTTGTTTGACCTTATTCTCCTAAACTACCCACTTGAAGCCCTTAGGTTGTGTGTTGAGCCTACGGGTTGAAGGAAATAAACCTCAACACTGGCGCCGTCCGTGGGAAACTGATCGAAAAGTTCCTCAAAAATAAAGCTCTCAGCTAAGAACCACTTTTAAAATCTCAAAACGAGTAGGATGGCAGGAAATAACGAAGGAAACTCCCATGATCTCTCCGAACGGCTGTCACGTAGCAGAAGAGCCCGCCAGCAGGCGGCAGGTGCCCAGTCCAGCAACTTGTGGAGCCGCGGGGACCTTGGGGTGCTTAGTGACATGATCCCCCACGAACTCAGGAGGGACCCTAATGCACTGAGGGAGATGGCGGATACCATCTGCCTTTTGGCGGAGGAGCGGGTGTACTCCGCTAACACCGAGCGTATCCCATTCTCCCCTATCCGCACTATACAGACGCTCAACGAGCGTATAAGCGAGACCGCGGAGTCTCGCTCCTCGGTCCACACTAGGATCGTCAGGAACGTCCACTCTCCGGATTTGGAGGGAGCTGGGGGAACTAGGCACATGGTCTTCAGAGGTGCACAACAGCATGAGGTCCAACATCGCACCCTGGTGATGCCCCGTAATGATCGTGCGACCAAGGAGCAGACCCCCATGATCAACGGCTTGGGACAGGGGCCCCGGGTCATCAACAGGCAGCATGGCGTTGACGCCATGCGTATGGGGAATGCATTCACACTGGTAACCCCCACAATCACTGTCACCGACCCACGAGATGCGATGCTCGTGGACCTTGAGAGGCAGATCAATGAGTTGGGCCGATGGGCAGATACTGATCCAGCTCAGCCCAGAATTGCCTTATCCTCTCCCTTCTCCGCCAGGATCATGGCGGTGGAGATTCCCAGGGACATCAGGCCGCCCGGCACCCTTATTTACAACGGGTCAGGGGACCCTAAAGCTCATCTGCTTTCTTTCCAGGGAGGACTCTCCATGATGGGAGCCTCCGATGAGGTCATCTGCAGGCTGTTCTTCAGCACCCTCAGAGGGCCGACACAGGAATGGTTCGGGCAGCTCACACCCGGATTCATTGACAGTTTTGAACAGCTCTCCAGGCAGTTCATGACGCAATTCGCCTCCAGCTCCACACCGAAGAAGCACTTCAGCTGGCTGACGAGCCTCCGCCAGAACAAAGTGTACAAGCATTACCCTCTTCACCAACGCACTCATAACCGGGGACCACTACCGGGATCTGAAGAGGAACCCCAGGAGGAGTTACGCCGAAGTGCTGGCTAGGGCACAAAAGTACGCGGCAATCAAAGAGGAGATTGCCTAGCGGGATGAGATTTCCGCTCCTGCGACTCGCAAGATATCGGATCGCCCGGGGCCAGGGCCATCAGAATCCCCCAAGGCAAAGAAGAAGAAAACGAGCGGCGTCTACGGCCCGTGGAAGCCCCAGGGGCAGGCTTCCGACATGCGGCGTAAGGATCCCGGGTATATCCCTTTGGCATTCACGGTGAGCCAAATATTTGAGGCCATCAAGGACAAGGGGATGCTCTAAGAGCCGCGGGGTTCCGATGGGCTGATGGGCAGGAACCATATGGCTTATTGCGAATACCACCGCAAAACCGGGCACAACACGGATCA